ATGAGAGTGATTTTTGTGCTTCTAGGTAATTTTATTTAATAATATTGAATGGGCTTTGTTTTTTTCACATAGCTAAGAGCTTGGGTTTATATTCTGTTAATTATTGTCTGGGCAACATTTCATAATGTGCCTATGCATGTCTTTAATTATTATTTGCTTAAAATGTCCAAATTGGAGCTAGTTGGAAAGTCATGAGATATTCTGACCTTGTCTTATAAGATTTAGGCAAATAGAAATTTATGGGTATGTGAAATGGTGTAATAACCTACAATGAGGCTTCATAGATGATTTTGTAATGTAGTCGCATCTTTCAGTTGATTCTTCCTATTTTCCAATTTGTCTTCTTTTATTAGCCACCAAACCCCTGTTATGTTCTTTTATTCTTTTTTAAATCTTTTTCCTCCCCCATCCTCTTTGTCTCACAGGAACAACCTGATACAGAAACAAGTACAACTCAATCAGAAACTGTTCAGACAGCAGCTTCTCTGTTGGCCTCTCAGGTACTAAGTGCAAAAAGCAAGGAGAGTTTGATTAAGTTGTTAAGATTAGTGTGGTGTAATGAATTAAAATGAGCATATACAGAAGACTATTAAAATTATCTTTGTGAAAGTAATTATTTGCTAGCCTATAAATGTATTTATTATAGTTTAAAGGTAGAGCACTGGATTCGATGGAAACTTTTTTTTTGCACTGTCAAGATGCTAACTCATCCCCTTACATATTTCATATTACAAATCATTTAAATCATCACTAGTCACAATTGCAGGGTTCACATACAAGTTTTATTTATAACTCAAAGTGAAATTTAAATTACAGCAACTGAAAACCATTCTTTGTGGATATATATTTTTTTGCTATGTTGATACATCTGTTTTTTTTTAAACACCTACAGCACCTGGTCTCCCTAGGTGGTCTCCCATCCAGGTACTAACCAGGCCCGACCCTGCTTAGCTTCCGAGATCAGACAAGATCGGGCACTTTCAGGGTGGCATGTCCGTAGACATATACCTTTATTTTTTAAATGTGTTTGCCTCACTTTTCACCTCTGATTTTCGGTTATTTTTTTATTTGTCCTAGAAATTCTACTTATGACAGTCTCTTGCATACAGTAGGCAACTGGAATCTCTTTTTTTTTTCCATTGATTTGTGAACCTCTATTTTGTTTGTGAAATAATTGATTTCTTCTTGAATTCTTTCAAATTGAATATACTCCAAACTCTAGGTCAAACTTTTACACAAAGTAAATATTTTCTTTAGCTAGATGTTAAGCTGGTTAACTTGTACAAAATAATTGTGATAACAACTCTTGTGTAGTGATAATGCTGAACTGATACAATGATATTTTGCTGCTTTGTGAGTTATTTTAATGCGATAATTCTAAAATGTGTTTTTGCTGGCTGTTAACCTATGTCATTCTTCCTAAAGATATTATAAATACTATGTTTACTATTGTGGAATGTCTTTTATTTCCATAATCTTTATCTAATAAAAAATTTGGGGAGGGGTGGAGGAATAACTAAACAACATTAGGAAGTGCTGTGCCTGATATCAGTACATGGACAGACTTGTTTTATCAGATTAAACTGTCCTGTGGTTGTAATTGCCTGTCTAGGAAACTGTTTTGATAGTTCTGTCTTATTGAGTTCATCCCTATAATGATTAATACTCGTGGGTGTGTTTGCATTTTAGCTGTTTTTATGAGGAAGTTGGATTTTCTTTCTAATGAAAAGATTCCTAGAGCCATTGAGGGGAAAATCACCCAGTTATAAAATAGCGATTATGGTGATTAAAAAAAAAAAAATCCCTATATTTGGTCATATAAGGAGAATATTTTTTTCTGGAGAGGTGATTAAAATACTGTGGCTCTGTCTAACAAAGAATCCTTCTTGTTTTGAGAGGAGATAAACTTGAAATAGTTATAGATGAAATGATAGGATCTCTGGGATTTGCTTCAGAATAATCTGGGAGTGAAGGTGGAAGGGTGGACAGTGGGCTTTCATTTGACGGTTGATGAAGTGGATAATGAATGCATGGGAATTTATTATATAATGCCCTCTATTTTTGTGCATTTTTGGAATTTTCCATAAAAAACATTTAGAAGTTCATCTCCATGTTTTTGAATATTAAAGAAGGCTTGCGATTTATTTTTTAACATGAAACTTCCCTAAAATTTAGAATAATTATATTATTGCTAAGTTGTGTAGATTTAATTTTATAATTTACAGGGTCAGAAAATAAATTTACTGGTAACTGCTGCTCCTGTTCGTAAGGTGAACTTTAAGTGTTCTCCCACATGGGGGTGCTGCAGTACTAGTTAATATCACAGCCATTGGCCATTAGTGTCGTTGTAAGTAAAAAGAGTTTAAGATGAACTTAATAATTATATGATAAGTGATTCTTAGAAGAATGTGTTTATAAAAGCAGTACTCAAAATTTCTTCACAGTTTTATATATGTTGCCAAAATATTTCTACTTAATTATTTGAAAATTTTTGTAAGTATAGAAGAAATAATATCACAGTAAGTCATATTTACTTGCACTCCACTTTGGTAACATTTTAGAATGTTTTTCTTTAAACTTTTAATGCTTTAATGGTAAGGTCGCATCCATTTCTCAGGAAGTAAACCAGTGGAAAGTACATCTCCTTGTTCAGCTACAGTGCTTTTAATGGTGTTGTGTTTGCTTCTGTTCTCAGAAAACATCCAGTACAGACCTTTCCGATATCCCTGCTCTCCCTGCAAATCCTATTCCTGTTATCAAGAATTCAATAAAGCTGAGATTGAATCGGTAAAACCACCTCAGGGGTCCATAAACAATATCTGCCAACTCAACCTATTGTCTTCAAATGCTAAAAAAGGAGAATGGAGGGTACAAGACTAGACATGACTGAAAATGGATTTAGGTTTTTTCCGCGACCTCCTGTTCTGGCTCATCAGCACCCGATCGGAAGCCCAGGTTAGTCCGTGGAGCCAGGAGTGCTGTTCCTATTGTGTTAGCAACAGTTGCATCAACTATTTCAAAAAATTACTGCCTTTAAAAAAAAAAAAAAAAAAACCTCAAGCTATATTTGTATTCATAATTGACATCTGGATTGGGTTTATTGTTTGATGCATTGTTTGGAAAATTTGCGATATAAACTGGCATAAGAATTCCTTATTCTGATGATGCACTTTTATGTATTTTTTTTATTAGAAAGTAGAACTAATTTTAGATTTTCAGCTTGATGGATTTTCATTTTTTCCTGAAGAGTTTTTTTTATCGTTAGTCTTCAAATTGGATACCATTGTGCAGTGGTGTACTGTTGTACCCCAGAGAAGGGATAAGAGTACATCTGGTTCAGTCCCTGTGAGGTAACTGTAACCTCTAAAAATGAAATGTCAATTCTAGGGTATATATTTGACCTTGAAAGGATAATTAGGAAATACTTGGTTTTGATAGAGTCACGATTAAGAAATGATATATTAGTTTTATTTATAGAATTGTTTAGAGTGCATACAAATCAGCGATCAGCCAGCAGATATTTTTCTTTGAGCTTATTAAAGCTCCATATTCTTTTGCCTTCAATCTGTTGTCTTTGAAACAAACAAAGCTTTTTGCTCCCTCCCCCTTTTTCTTTTTTTCTTTTTGCTTGTATGCATAAGGTAGGATTTATTTCATACAAAACAAAATGCCAGTATTTTCTTAAGCCATGATGTGAAACCAGTGACCCTGTGGCCACATGGCACAGAACACTAAATTTTGATCCCATGGCTGAAACTTTAGGGTGACTAAAAGTAATGCCTGTGAACATGATACCTATCTTGGAAGGCCATTTGATCTCTAAGAGGAATTTTGTACACTCCACAGAACTCCTGTCTATAGTAAAGTTGTTTTCCATTTTAAACATGTGGGCAAAAAGGCATTTTCTCTAAGAATTTTAAACTAATTTTTACTTTTAAATGGTTGACCAAAATTTGTCAGTAAATTTTACATGTAGGAACATTTTAAAAATCATTTCTAGCAAGCACTTGACATCTAGTCAGCTCTCTACTCCTTTTTCATTTTGTTTCATCCTGTCAGTAGATTAGGAACCCTTTTCTTTGAAGAAAATTCTTTCTCGTAATTAAGCAGCAGCACACCCATCTTTACGAAGTGTGAGGGATGCCAGATGTCGATAGACGCACTCTTTCTGAATCTGGACGAAGCAAACCTAACAGATTTTTCTGATGAGCATGTTTTACGAATCCTCCATTGTGCTCCGTTCTATCACATGTGCATTTTTCATGTTAAACTGCAATTACTTAAACTCTTCCCCTACCCTTCTAAATTAATTTTCCAAAGTTGGAGTGTAGTCTTTTCCCCCTTAGGCTATGCATTAATTGAGGCTTTCTTTTCACCATACTTTATGACGTCTAGTATCCAATGTTTCCACTTCCCACATCTTTGCACAGTCACCTTGCCCATTCTCCCACCACCTAAGAAAAAAAGATGGTCGTACTAACAGGTGAAGTGTACAAGGTGTCTGTGTGTTTCGTGTAGCTTCAGAGTTAGATTGAAATTGCCAGGCACAGATTTAGTCTTGTCATTTTGTTTACACATTGGGGAAAAAATTTCAGTTTATTAAACGTTTCATGTAACTGCACCCAAGTTTTGCCAAGCTGGAAACTTGGACCTTTTCCGTGTAGTGACTTTTTAATTCTAGTTTTCATAACCCGGAGGTCAGACTGTTGCTTTCGCATGATGTACGTAGTGTCTCATGACTGGAGTTTGCTTTGTTTTATAGTATCTGTACTCCTTGTATTTTTCAAGAGCTATTTTGTAAACAGATGATGTATTTCTCCATTGAAAACACAATAAAAAAAAACAGCACAATCCCACAGTTGGCTGGTTTCTTTTGACTGACTGTGTTCTTTTGTTCTTTTCGGTGATCTAATAGGTTCTACCTGTAAGTTTATATAGTGTGGCTCTAAGTGAAGATTTGCAAAAGAATTTACTGTGGTTACATTTGGAAAAGATTTGTTTCTGGTTAATTTATGCCATTAGCAGCAGCCTATTATTGATTGATAGCTCACATAATTAGATATTTGTTTTTTATACAATTGATCATTCGGGAGAAAAACATGAATATAGTTGCTATTAATTCACTGTTTCAGCTGTCCCATCCTCTAAAATATTTATTCTGTGCATGTAGACACTATACCTTTTCTGTGTATTTATTTCATGCCTGTAGACAGTGTACCACTGACATGCTTCCTTTTCAAAGCTGTTGGTTTTCAAAGCAGTCGGTACTCCAGCTCTGATGTCGGCAGGTGGCACTGTTGATTTTCAGTGAATTTAGAATTACAGACTGTAAGCAGCCAGGATCCAGTGTTTCTCATTTTACTAAACCCAAATCAGATGCTGCTTTTCTTAAACCCCAAATGCTCAGCGTTGCATGTTTAACTCATGGGTTGGGAGTGAACTGCTCTGTGTGTGTGTGATGGCCAGCTCTTGAGTATGGTTGTCTTGAGTGCTTTGAGTGGAGGAATGGACCTCCTTATGTGAAAGCCATTCTAAGGGACATGCAGTTGTGCATATTTCATTCCCGAAATTCTAAATTGTGAAAGGCCTTTACTATGTATAAAAATAGATAACTGCAGTGTGGGATAACTTTTTTATTAAAATTAACTTTCGAGATCAGCAGAAGGGAAAATATTATAAAAATTACCTCTGACTCCATTGTTAACACCTACAGAATTGAACTTCCTGTACTTCCTCTACCTTGATAGACATCTAACCATGAGACTGAATCTCACACTTTCTGAGTCTTATTATCCACATGGCCTTTTAGCATTTCATTCATCTTAGAATTAGTAAAATGATAATTAAGAGTTGTGTGTTTTGTGGTTCTTGGTATGTTCTGGAATTGAGTTTATTTTTCTAATTAACACCTCTGTTTTTTTCTCTGCACAGAAAAAAGTTTTAGAGCTCTGCGTAGTATTAATTCTGGCTGCACTCAAGGTGGCAATAAATGACCTGCAGCTCCAAGTAGTAATTGATATATGAAAGGATAAATCATTAATATACACATACTTGTAGACCAAGCCCTGGAAGTATTAACTGTTAGTGCACTTAAATTCATTTAAACGAAAAGATAAACTGTTTGCCTCAAAAGGCATTGAACAATCCTTTGGATATACTTTTGCCTATTTTAATGTAATAAAAGAATAGTACAAGGAAAATTAGTTGCCTTTTAGCCTGAATTGTATTTTTTTTTAATTCTCCATTTTACTCTTCTGTTAGCTTTTCTTCAATCCAAAATCAACAAATGGATGCTGTCTTAACTCACAACTGAACATAGTAAATGAAATATTAACTACGTTCTGTAATAAACATGACGTTCAGTCATACAGAGACAAGTGGTCTGCTTAATTCTGTGTAATACTTGTTTCTCATATTCGTGGAATCAGTTTATTCATCCTTTCTCTATACTTAACAGTTTAAAAGTTCTTAGGACATTTTACATCTTTATCAGCACCAAGAAAGATGGCGTCAATATTTCCGAGCTACATATTTTAGAAGCAATTGTATGTACTTCATCCTAGAAGCGATTTCATGTACCTGGGAAGTCCTTTCAACGTCCTTCTTTTTCTCTCCTCGGATGTATTTCTGTCTCAGTGTTCCGTGAACATCATTGTAGCTGATCAAAACTTATTCGTATTTTGTTGAAAGGGATGGAATTATAAGTACATTTTCCTTTTCCTCATCCACTCCCAAATCTGAGGCCTTTCCTTGAAAGGGTGGCGTTAAGGCCGTGTTCAAGTTCACATTTCAGAAAGCTCATATTTGTATGGAAGGTTATGATTGTAATTATTGCGTTTTTCTCTCCAATTATCTTATTAAATGCTTCACATTTTTAGATAGCTAAAAATCATATCTACAAAGGGCACAGTATTATTTAGAGTTTATGGAGTTTATAACCATCTACTATATAAAATGTTAACTTTGAAAATATTCATACTTTAACATAAATAAGACAATGCAGTCACTTCCCTTTCGTTTTGGATATCTTTAAATTCCGCCAGTATGCTGGGAAATATATTTGAAATGAAGAGCAGAACAGTCTGTGTCTGCTTTAAACAAAGCATTATAATTTTTGCTATGATATTTCTAAAGTCCAGGGGATAATACCCTTAATAGTTTCTCCTTGCCACCCAGCTTAAGAGTTTTTGTTTACATGTGTTGTTTATATTTTAATGGTGAGAATGGATTTGTGCTAAATCCTCTCTTCTTTTTTTTTAATCCAAAATGTTTATTGGGATGGTTCCTTACCATCTTGATTCAGGATGCTTTTAGTGCTGCTTTCTTTTGAAGGAGCATCCTATAAGCCTCGCTTTTCCTCCTGCAGGCGGACAGAGGACAGTGGAGCAGCCAACACACAAAACTACCAAGACGAGGGTGATTTCATAGCATCTTGGGCATTTCATGTCCATGAAGTAGGAGCGGGGGATCCGCACCAGGTGCTGCTGCTGTGCGTCCTCCTCCCTTCTGGAGAGGGATGAAGGAGGTCCTTAGCCAGAGGCTTGTTCTGGTCGGAAAAGCTCCACACTTCCTCTCACTGGGTCCCAGAATTGACCGCGGAAAGCCGAAGGGTGTGTTGGTTTTGTTTTACTTTGTGGAATAAATAATGAGGATTTAGAAGGCCTGGAGCTGATTCACCCTGGGTTTGAACTTGCCATTGCCACTTCAGTCTTAGCAGCAGAGTCCCTTTTCCACCCGTGCACAGACGTCTCAGCCCTAAGACAGGTCACCTAAGTCGTACCACAGCGAAAGACACTTTTTGGAGCAGTGTAAATTCAGCTACACAGTCTTAAAAACGTTTTGTAAAAAATGATTTTGCCTGTAGTTCTAAATACATTTCAAACAATCGCCTCAGTAGAGGTACAAAACAGATTACAGGGAAAACCATTAAGGGTAGGTTAAAGTCTTGAGCTGAGTATAATGTGATTAATCATTAAATGATAAAGTATTACCTAGTCTAGATACGATGCATCTTCGTATTTGGAACTATTCTGTTGTCACTTAATGGGTATTTTTATTTCATATTAGTCATGTGAGTTCGACCTGTTTTCTTTTTAAGTTGTTGCTTAAAAATACTTCGTAAGCCTTTTAGAAGCATTTCCTTTAATTTGTAAGATGCTATTTTTTGATCCAACAGATTTCAGTCTGAAAATATGTATTTTGAATAATTCAAAATTTCGATTTAATGGGTTTCTTACAGCTCATTGCAGACGTTTATCTTGGTCTTGTATATTTTTAATGTCATAGAGTCCTAAAATCATTCAATTTATTTTTGGTATAATACAAATTTTGCTCTAAGAAAACACGTAAATGCAAAGTAACAAAGTTATTTCTGAGGAGTTAAATGATCTTGTGCCACTGCTGTGCCCCATACATACACACATATGTTGGTATTTGGGTTTTTTTCGGAATTTAGGCATAAGGAAGTAGGTATGTGTATTTTAATATAATAATGTAGAATGTCCCAACTTTGTTCCTTGTGGATGCTGTCTCTCTTGGCATAACACCTTCCTTACAAACTTTCACACTGTGTGCTGCCTGGTGCTGTGTGATTTCCAGAAATCTGGCACGAGAATTGGTCCTTGTTTGCGTTTTCTGACTGCAGTGGAGCTGTTAATAAAGAGATTGATGATAAAGTTGTCGAGAAGAGACAGTTGGGCAGAACTGCTCCCTGTGAGTGACAGAGGGCATGATCTGCCTTCACAGCCAAGAGAGCGGCCCCCAGCAGAGACCCGACCGTGCCCAGACGCTATGCCAAGCCTGCTAGTGGGGGCTGTGCCACACGGCTCGGCTGCCGTGTGTGTCTCTTCCGTAGACTTGCTTCCCGTTCCTATTCTTATCCTTAAGTTCATGGAGCGTTCGGGACAGGTACATTTGCAGATATGACACACATTTCCCAACTGCAAAACAATTATTTTTGCAAATTCTTGAAAGTACTCAGTTCATCTGAATTCGGTTTACTGAAATTGTTTTATTTCGAAAGCGTTACTACAATTTTTTTAGAAAGCCTAGGTATCTTCTAGACAATGACTACCTCAATCTTTTTTTGTTTTTAGGTTAATTACCTTTATTTTTTTTAGATTTTTTTTAAATTAATTTTTTTTAGGGCCATCTCAATCTTAAGGGAGTCAGCTCTGACAGCCTCAAGAACCACTTGCCCCACAGTAAGCACTGGTTACGGGGTGTCAAATGTCTTAGTCGTTGTGATGGTGATGGTGTGTTTTTCATCTCACTGCGGGCAAGCTGAGGCTAATGACACCCAGTTAATGCCGTTTTCTGCCTTGGTAGTGCGCTAGAATTTTTGGCTTTCTAATACTGACTTTAAGACAGATTCTGACTATAATTTTAAGCCGTCCTAGGTTACATGTTTTCTACATTAGCTTCTTGAATATAAGGCTATTATTGGTTACGTTTCTCTTGAGAGGAAACTAATATGTGGCCTTTGTCTTGTTAAATGACCCAAATGTAGACCTTTTATAGTTTTGACAATGAAAATTCTTGAAAAAGTTAATTTTGCAAGTATGGTTTTTGCCATTTGCCAAAACTTGGATCTCTATATATGTGCGTGCATGTGTGTGTGTGTAATATATATAGTAAATATATATAAATATATAACATTTTAAAATGTAATTTTAACATATAAATTTAAAAAGTAGATGGAGTTCAAGGTGGTTTTCTTGATCCCCAATAGTTCTTCTGTTCTTTTTAGAAGCAAGTTCTAACCAATCTACTTCCTTTAACATGAAACCTTCAAACACAGATTTCCAAATTGTCATTGGTTGGTTTTCTCATCCCAATTAAAATCATGTGCTGGGATGTATTTTATGGCCAGAGTGCATTAAAACTACAAGGCCAGACTAGGCCCGAGTATGTTGGCACGTCACCGACGGCCTCTAGTGCTGGTGATCTGCCCCCCTTACCATGCCCCTCCGGGACCTGGGCAACTGCAGAGGAATCAGATCAAGCTCCTACCCCTGAAAATATCGGAACCAGGATCAGTCCTCCAAGTGAAGTAGTTCTTGGAATGATGGAGCCACTTGTACCTTAGGGTCGTAGCAGTTTCCTTAGTAGGCGTTTTCGAGGTTTGTTGTGAGCGTGAGCTGTTGGCTAAGCTGGGAACTCCTGGTACAGGGCTCAAGAAGAGCGTGACTATGCAGCGGTGACTTAAAACAGATGAATTAGCTTAAACAGCTTGGCAAATTTCATGGCACTTCTCTCCATGCCTGTGTGGTTCCAGAATGGTTTTTTCTTCTATTCTGCATTGTTTGTTCTCTTGATTTACCTTTGATTTGGGAGGAAATAAAAGGGAGCGTTTGCAGGACCCTGGTCTAGCAAGTCTCTTTGGTGTTCTCAGATCCTCGAATGTTTGAGATCTCGTTCTCTTGAGGCCAGGGTTCCTAGAGTTCCTGGGATCTCCCAAGAAGTTCATGGCCCAGACTTCCCAGGTCGGCTTCTAACCTCCGGCCCATAAACTGATCCCTACAAACTAGCCATGGGCGCTGGGGCGGGGCAGAAGACAGGCAAGCTGCAAGGACTCCTGGGATTTTCCAGCAGCTCCTTTTGGCCTCCTGTTGCCGTAGGATAAAGAGTTTTGGATTTGGCTATTGCGAAGCAAACAGGCTGTTTGGAAATCTTGAAAATTTTACTTCATTTCCAGAAGGGTTTGAGATGACTTAAGAGTGAAATTTTTTAAAAGGGTAATGCAGTCAGGATAAAGGAAATGTACAGTGAGGTGAGGCCGGGACCTAGAGAAAAAAAACCTACTGCCCCCCTTCCCCTAGATCAGTCAGCAGATGTGTCAGATTCTCCTCCAAGTACGGCCCTAGTTGTTGGTTTCATGGAGTTTACATTCCAATGGAAGTTAATTTTTTTTGTAACACTTTTATTAGTAATGGCTAGTTAGTTGCCAAACCACAGAAATTAGGAAAACTTCATTAAGAATTATTTGGAAATTCACATTTGTAATTTTTTTTTGATCACCACTCAAGACTGTAACATCCAGAGCAATGGAGCCTCCACGAAGGAAGGATTAGGAGTTAAAGCATCTAAGGGGCTCTGACTTGAGTGGTGATTTACTTGAAGTCTGCCATATCGGTTACAATGGGGAGAAGATGGGAGGGAGAATCCCACCTGGGCGTTTGAGGCATGGTCAGACACTGACTTTAAGACAGCTTGATCTGATATTTTTGGACTGATCCTGGTTCCGATATTTTCAGGGGTAGGAGCCAACTGGACGGTTGGGCCCCATGGAGAATAAGACACCAGTGAGCTCTAGGCTTTTTGTTCAGTGGACGTGGCATTGTGATAGGAGTGCCTAGTCCCTGGTGTAAAAATGCACTTCCATCGGAAACTGCATCATGTGTCAGGCGTGGCACATGCTGGGAAACTTGCTTGAAGAAAGTCACCTGTTAAGCCATCCATCCTGACTACCATTTTATCACGTTCCCTGGATTGAAACACTCGGTGAACACCTTCCCGTGTGGTGGTGGGGAGATGCCTGTTTCGAGTCTGAGCTCTCTCCGATCTTGGCGTTAGCTCCGGCATTCACCATGGAGCACTCATTGGCTTAAAGTTTTGACTGACAGTTTCAGTCGCATTAGCCAAAATGGTCTGTGGCAGTTTGAGCTTCGGTCCCGGTAAGGATTTAGGCAGTCTGACATTGGAAAGAGATTGAAGGTCTGAGATCCCATTAAAGTTTATGTCCGATCAAACTGATGGCGAGTTTTGTTTGTAAATATTTCAGCCAGATACTGTCACCAATTCTTGAACTTTTCTGTCTAGTTGGTATGAGTACCTGACCCCAGGTAATCATAGTGGAAGAGTGAGAGAAGGCTGTGAAGTAGTTCCTCTGACTTCTATGTGGACCCGTACCAAGCATTGGCCTTTCAGTGGAAATATACTCCCGTTTGCCTCGAGCCTTACGCTTCTGAAGCCGCCACCCGGGTGCGTAATGTTTGATGAGTGCTGAGAAGCAGGTCTGGTCCAGCGACGAGAAAGTCCAGGCGTGCAGGAAGGACAGACCGGCCAGGGCCTGGCGACATGGCCAGTTGTTTAACACTTTCGGTTTCTGAGTAAACTGTAACTCATTCTTAATGTCTTTGTTTCTTATCGGAATTTTATGTGGATTAGCAAGTAAATAACGTGTTCAGAGAAGCATAGGTTTGTTTTGAAAGTGCCAGGTTAAACCTGACTTGAATTCGTTGGAGGGCAGGCACAAAGGCTAGTGGCAGCCTGCAAAGGAGTATCTGGCCAACCAGCCCCCTGGTCCCCAGAGCTGCCTTTCCTGTCGGAAATTTGGGCAGCAGCAGAGTAGGGAGAAAAAAGGTTGAGTCAGGCAAAGCCCCTTTCCCCGATCCCACCTTTTAAAAATTAATGTGGGGTGGAGGCAGACCTCTTCATCAGAGAAGTCTGTCTTGGTGCCGAGACCAAGGCTCACAGCTTCCGAGGAGGCCCATGGGGCACACACCCCGAAGGGGCCTGGGAGAGTCCCGACCGGAGTTGGCGCCAGGCGGCAGGGCTCATTGTCACAGCAGTCCACAAGGTTGCCGCTGGCGTAGGCGACGTCACCGTTTAGAGAGGAGGAAAACAGGTTTGCTTGGTGCGAAGCACGTTGCCTGTGGTCACACAGTAAATTGGGATTCAAACCTGCTTTACTCTCAAGCTTAGTCCTGAAATGTGGCCTTGTGTTTTCCCGCATCACAGTGTCTCCTTGTGGTCTGTCTCTGGGTATTGTCATTGGAATCGCTGGGGTGGTTAGCTCGGTTTTCGGAAAGGCTTCTGGTAACAGCTAAACGCATTTCTGCCGTTCGGATGCCCTTCCAGCTGGCCTGAGGGTGCGGAGGGACAGCGATGGGCAAAGACAGGTGGTGAATGGCTGGAATGGCTGCAGGGGGAGATGGACTTGAATGAGACTAGAGGAAAAGAATTTATGATTTATTATGTGTATTTATTAGTACTGAGAAGGTTCAGGCTCTGGCTAGTATGGGCAAACTGATCCATTCACACCCAATTCACTTAACAATTGATTTGCCTAAAATTTGGGCTTTAAAAAATATTAATTTTTCATATTGGTTAGGATGATTTTTTTTATTATATTTTTCTTTTTAAGCCAATCAAGACAGTACTTAGAAAAAATGGTAAAAAAAAAATGTAAGCTCAAGAATAAAGTAGAAATAACAATTGCTCAGGAGGTGTTTTAATGATCATATCATATCTGAAGGAATTCGTGTGATAAATTTTCATTAAAAACAAAATTAAGGCAAAATCCCCTTAGAGGAATTAGATAAAAACAATACTTAATGTTAAAAAAAAAGGAATCGATATCTAAAAATGAATTTTTTGTGAGGAGGCATTGTCCATTATATTGTATATAAAATGCCATGATTGATAAGTATTGTTTACAGTGTAGATTGTGGGTGAATATGCCATTTGGGAAATTCATTATTAGGTGAATCGATTTTAGTCAAATTGATGCCATCTAAAATTTGTTAATGTTGATTTTTTTTCCTGATAGTAATAGAAATACAGTCATTGTAACATTTGAAAAATTAAAAAAATATAAAGAAAATAAAAATCATCCATAATCTGACTTCTCGAAGTTAGTGTTCAAGATCTTTTATATATTTTCTTTGTAATACATTTTTTTTATGTTGAGATTACACTAGTAACTTTACGTCAAGCATTTCCCGTACACGTCATCATGGCTGTTGGATAGGTACAGTGAGGAGCCAGGAATGTCCTGTGGGTCTCTGAATGAACCAGCCTCCAGGCGCGGCCTTCAGCCTTGGGGAAACGGGGCGGGGTCAGCACCCGGGAGGGGCAGCAGAGGGGAGAACAGGCCGTGCGGAGGCGAAACCCCCCAAAATCCTTGAGAGGGTCGCATTATGGCGGTTTACTGTGATGGTTGGTATTAACGTTGAAATGGATAGCCCATCAGATGGTAGAAGAAACAAGTTCGAAAAGCCTTAATTTAGCCCCATCTTGCCCTGTCCCCCCCCAACCCCATTTTTGAAGCGTAGTGATGTAATGGATACAGTTCTGCCTCCTGTGAGGACTCATCCATCGAGCACACGGTCGCTGACCCCACGTGTGCCAGGTGCTTGCCGCGGGGGGAGAGAACGGGCAAGCAGGGAAAGGGGGCGGGATTCCCTGAGTGTCTGGTGTGCCGGGCACCGGGGGCACTCTGGGCGACATCGTGCCTAGCGGCGCTGACGACTCGAGGTGGTGAGCAGTTGACCCTGGCTGGCTCCGAAGCCCTTTCTGTCTTGAGTCGTGCGTTCACTCAGCAGCCGCGTGGAGGCCCTCGGATTCGTGGCCGGCAAAACCAGCAGTAGCCCGTCCTGGAAGCTTCCAGTCCACAGGGAGTACGGTGGCACACAAAACGAGGTAGGAGTCAGCAGAAGGCTCTCCCCTTTGTCCCTTTCCCTCTGTCACAGACGAGCATTGACCTGAAGAGTGTGCTGGCATCAGCCAGGCGCAGAGAGGGGTAGCATTTTTCTGAAGCAAGAAGGTGTTTGGTGACGAGAGGATCAGAGAGGTGACAGTTTCTGGAGCCGAGTGAACGGGAGCTGGGGTCGAGAGAGCTCTAAACGCCCAGGTGTGTCACCATGTGATGCTACTAGAGACAGGAAGTGCCGAGGGGCC